CAATTCTTTTAGCTAGAAGTATCTGCCAGGAAGAACGTACCACTGGCGAAAAAAACCTGCGGGGAGAACTGTGCAAAAAACGCATCCTCGTACCGGCAGGCGGTGCGCTTTCTACTAGGTTATAGCTTTGGACATCTCTGCATCCGAATTGCACTCTCTTTCAGACAATGCGGCTATTATGGAGGAGGAAATGAAACAAGAAGCGGAGGGAATTCTCTGCATTCACAGTTCCGAAAAAACACAAAAAATAGAAAAAAAGTACTGGGATTATAAATCAGTATCAGCGATTTAGCTTCATGTATGGCCGTCACGATAAAATTAAACCGTTACATCGATCGTGCGAAGGTATGCACGGCGAACTGACAGTTAATCAAGGGATGGAAGTAAACCAGAAATATTGTTAAGGGCTTTTAACTGCTGAAGTTGGAAAAGGAAACGATTGGAATACATTTTTTGTCGCAGCTGCTTCTTTTTCCATTAAGATGCTTAAAATTTTGGCTCACTCAAGTTTTTCCGGCTACACTGTCAGAATAAGGCTAACCAGTTCATCGACTAAGCCAAAATATTTATATCAATACCTAACTTATCAGCTATTGAGCACTTCCTTCCACTGATGCTACCAATTCATTCTAATAGACGAAAAAAGTTCGCTTTTTTGGGGTCATTAGACGCACCACTTGCTGGGATGCAACAGAAAAACTACTGGTCAAAAAATGCACCCAAACCAAAAGGCACTAACTCGCTTTAGACGATGATGGATTTAGGTCAGTGTCACACAGTGAGTTTGTTTAGAAAGCAAAAAAAGCTTTTCATTTTGTCATAACAATTAATATGTCCCAAATACGAAATTCCTTTTTTTTGGATTTTTAATCCGTTTGTCTTTTACTGCTCCCTTTTATTTCGAATGCTGTGGATTAAAAGCACACACCTGGTATCGTGGTAAATCTCGAACTCCCCAGCACAAAATCTGTACTGTGTAGTGTTTGAAAACTGGGCACACGTCACGTGCAACTGAATACCGATTTGTCTGGAGCTTCCGAGGCGGTTTCAGTGGAGCAATGTGCACTGCTTCGCCCTCATACAAGAATAATTCAAAAAGTGCCAATAGCGCACCTCTGAAACAGAGGCCTAGCTTATACAGTTACAGTGCAAGAAGCTCGTCTCATTCAGGAAGCGGTCTAACGGGCTTCTAATGGGGCTCTCCACGTCAACAAGCTGATGATGCTTTGATGTCAACGCAAGGAAATGCCCGCAGACGTCTTGTACCTGATAATCCATAATGAATAAAAGGCAACATAAAAGCTCAAGTAAATAAAATGCTTAACAAGAGGAAGTAAAAACAGGAACGCACTGGTGTTGCTTCTTTTTTTTTTGCTACTCAAAACAAGTACATAAAACAGTAACTGTCTTACTTCTGTTTGTCTTTGCGAAACGATAATGGAAACCAGGTTGGAGTTCCACGACGATCAGTTGCCAGTGAAATGACTGAAGGCGTTGTCATGAAACGCCCAAGGAATGTTTCCGATGAAGCGAAATCTTCCGAACATACTTCCACTACCACTGCCGGTGGGTTTTTACGCACCGACGCCATTCCGCCACACAAAATCATCTAAATGGCAAGCACCTTTCTTCGCATAAGGTCCAATAATGCGAATGGTCTATTTAAATACTTTCTAGTCTCTCTCACTGTTTTTACACGTAGAAAATGATAAGCACTGTTCCGAAACATGTCATCCAGAGAATTTTCTACCTCATCCCGAAAAGGCATGAACTTCTCAGCACGTCTAGAAGGCTTGCTCATCAACAGTGGCATCGTTGCCTGCAAGAGCATGCTCGGTTAGAGGCAGCTATTTGGCACAAGAAATCTCGAAAATGCCCAATGCTCCCTTATGTTTTCTCTCTGTTTCCCTAAGGTTCGACATTTTAATTGCTACAGAATTTTGAGATTAGCTGATGAAAAGCAAAAAAATCGAACTCGTTTGTAAATGAGAGTTTCATTCCAAATTGGATTGACTGTATTTTCTACAATTGCCGTCTCCTGGCATCGGTTTATGAAGACCACGCGAACAAATGCTCGTGAACCTCGACGGTTCGTTGGTAATAAATCACGAGCCCATAAAATGGACGCACGCATTTGCCAGCGAGTTACATGGTCGTAAACCTGGAAAACACAAGTGAACTCCGTTGTTTTCGCTAGAATAAATCGCATAACAGTAAAAATCCGTTTTCGAATACATTACTTCATATATTCGAGGCGAAACCGAAATATCTTCAGCCAAATGCAGCGCTAATCTTCCCCTGAAAACAAGTATATTGGGAAAAGCGATCAGAAAATGTAAAATGTATGTTATTAAGTTATTAGTAACATGGAGGAAGCTAGCAAGGTACTGTATCCACTGGAAGCTGTAGCTTCGAGAACGAGGGAAACACCAACCAAATTTTGGTGCCTTCAACAAGCTGATTTTTTGCCTATGGGGACATATAGTATAAAACGTAGTTTGTTCAGACTTTACTCTTTCAATAAAGCGCCGTTCCACTCAGCCTATTCAGCAACTTCCAGTTGAATCAGCAGTGTTTAGGCAGCTATTTCTCATCCGAATTCCCATTCAGTGTAGGCGATTTTGTAATCCTTGATTGCAAATTGAGATTAAAGATGCTGTTAAAAAAGGAACATGGTAGCAGAAACTATTTCGGTCAGTACAATTGATTATGAAAACTCTGTTAATACTACGGCGGGATATGTCCACAGCAATATGACATAAAGCTGAATGATTTAGTCCCATACAAAACTACCGATACGAAAGATACTTTGACAAAAAGGGATATGCAAATTCGCTAAAAGACAAACTATTCTAGACCTTTGACTGAGGTTAGCAGGAAATTCCATTTCACGCACATATCGTCGGCGTCGGAAGTTATCACCGGGCATTTTCTGCACATGCATCGGCTCATTAAAATGCTTCGCGTACTGCAAACGGATCGTTGTGGCTTTTTTTGTAATTCAGAGAAAAGTAGAATAAAGAGGTCAAGCAGCAACCTCCCAAAGCTCGGGATCAATGCTTTTCCGTAGTGCGTCTATGTTTTCGAAAACATCCTTTGTTCCAGTGCCGAGCGTTCTTACGCGTCTCCATCGTCGACGTCGAAATTTATGCCCTTCTCTAAATGAAACTTCTAATTCAGTACGAAGTATTTTAGCTGACGTACAAAAAAAA